TGTTGATAGGGAAATTTGGGATGGAAGACAGGGATCTGTGCTGCTTTTAACAATTCACAGCCCCTTGGAGGGAGATGAGAGAAGGAAATGGGTGTGTGTGTAGAGGGGAGTAATGAGGGAAAGTCAGTCCAGGTGATTTGGACCATTTCCACTGTAGGCAATGAGGAATCCATAAAGGTTTTCGAACAAAGATATATTTCTGGTATTTTACTAGTTCACTCCAAGTAGCAGAATTGCAGATGGATTTGAGGTATGAAAGGATAAAATGTGCCCAAAAGAGCTGGAAAGAGATTCTAAGTTCCTAAAGAAACACGGGACCAAGAAATCCTTCTCTACCACTGACCTGCATACCTGGCCATTTTTATTTTTTTATTTTCAGAAAGTGTCTAAGTTTCAGAGAATGGCCTTAAACGTGCTATCCTCCTACCTCAGCCTCCTAAATTGTTGCAATTACAGGCATGCCCAGTGAGGACAGAGAGATTTTGATGAAGAAAGACTATGTCCTGGGAGTAATACCAAATACTTAGGTATGTGCTGGGAAAAGCAGCAGGGAGATAAGGAAATGGGGTCTCAAAGGACTCCCAGATTACAGAGAAAGTTCAACTGGGGGAGGAAATTGAGTTTGAAGCAAACAACATTCACCTAGAAGGCCTAGCCAGCATTTAGAAATGCAAGAGAAACTTGAGTTAGCAACACATAGCATTCAAAGTAGCCAAGGAATGGAGCCTCAGGCCAAAAGTCCTTACCTCCAAGACCACAGGGCTGTCACATTGAGACATGCTATTTGAGAGACCTACTATGTACAGGCTGACGGGTGATATCACTAAAAATTTGCACCAGAGAGGCCTGAACTTCCACAGCAACCCATGCCACGTCATGCTAATCTTTCTTCCTCTTCGTAGGCCAGACCACTTAGCTTATGGAGCGAGCTAGAAAACAAGTGATTGCCACATGAGAAAAATACTTCTTTCCTGTGGCTAGATATTCTATTTGGAAACACTTCCCGAGACTGCCAGGCTCACCACATGGCAGTCAGCACTGCTTACCTTCAGGAGACAGTTTCTTGCCTCAGAGGATTAGTGCAGATGTATTTAATCCCTAACGGACTCCAAGAATTGAGAGTCTAGGTTAAATTCTGACCAGAGCAATATCTCTGTCTCTCCTTCCTTCTCAAGTGGGGGGAAAATGCTAAAGGAAAAGGCACCATCTTTCGACTGGAGATCAAGGGAGATCCTGGTAGAGAGGGGAGAGTTATCACAACTATTTATGAATTTATGCAGCTAACTAAGAAGGTAAGGTGTAAGTGTTGGAAAAGGAAACTAGTTAAAACTAATGAGCATTCAAAACAGCCAGATTTAGACTCTAAATTTCTTTTTATAGCAGTCATACCAAATACTTAGTACTCAGGACTAAATAGTTTCATGTGTATCAACAATTGGTTTAAATAGAAAAGGAAATCTGGGTCCCAGGTACTTTTGGGCATAGTCACATCCTGAGATGGGAGCACTAACACCAGAGCAGTTTCCTGCGGGGGGGGGGGTCCCTAGCATTCCGTGTGGTCTTCCCTTCATGTAGGCTCTCTTCACCTGGTACGCCAGAGTCTTCCCCACAGAAACCCAGGGGCCGAGTCCTGTTAGCTTGGCTCAGGAGGGGGCTCTGTCAGGCCAGATCTGGATTGTGTTTCCTCACGTTGGGGTGGCGTAAAGTGGGGAAGAGTGGATCCCACCAGAGCCACATGGTCTGAGAGGAAGGAAGATGCCCATAAGAAAACTGAGGTGTTTGCTGGGCATGATGGTGCATGCCTGTAATCCCAGGGGCTTGGGAGGCTGAGGCAGCAGGATCGTGAATTCAACGCCAGCCTCAGCAAAAGTGATGTGCTAAGCCAAATCAAAACTACTCTAAGATTTCATCTCACTCCAGTCAGAATGGCAGCTGTTAAGAAAACAAGCAACAATAAGTTTTGGGGGGAAAAGGCACACTCATACATTGCTGGTGGGTCTGTAAATTGGTGCAACCAATCTGGAAAGCAGTATGGAGATTCCTTAGAAAACTTGGAATGGAACCACCATTTGACCCAGCTATCCCACTCCTCAGTTTATACCCAGAGGATTTAAAAACAGCATACTACAGGGACACAGCCACATCAATGTTTATAGCAGCACAATTCACAATAGCTAAATTGTGGAACCAGCCTAGATGCCCTTCAGTAGATAAATGGATAAAGAAAATGTGATATATACACACAATGGAATACTACTCAGCATTAAAAGAGGATAAAATCATGGCATTTGCAGGTAAATGGATGGAGTTGGAGAATATTATGCCAAGTAAGCCAATCCCAAAAAACCAAATCCTGAATGTTTTCTCTGATATATGGATGCTGATCCATAATGGGGATGGGTGGGAAGCATGGGAGAAATGGAAGAATTTTAGATAGGGCAAAGGGGAGGGAGGGGAAGGGAGGGTGCATAGGGGTAGGAAAGATGGTGGAATGAGATGGACATCATTACCCTAAATACATGTATGAAGACCAAATGGTATGACTCTACTTTGTGTTCAACCAGAGACATGAAAAATTGTGCTCTAGATGTATAGTATGAGTTGAAATTTGTTCTGTCATATATAACAAATTAGAATAAATTAATTAAAAAAAAGAGAATTCCTCCTATAAGTAGGGAAAGAACAAAGAATAGATCACTTTATAATCTTGGGATAAGGATGACCTTCTTATAGAAGACCCAAATACCAAAAGCCATAAAGGAAACATTTAAGATTACAACTTTGGCAAGAATGTGAAGAGCTAAGCATCCACAACATTGGACTGGTAGAGCCAATTTGAATAATAATATAGTGGAAGCCAACTTTGGGTAGGAGGGGTGAGGAACTGAAACCATGGGCACTTTGCCACCGAGTTCAGCTTCAGCAGAGGCTGCTCTTGAATTTACAATTCTGCCTCAGCCTCTCAAGCTATTGGGATTACAGGTGTGCACCACTACATGCAGAAGCAGCAGCCAAATTTATACACACACACACACACACAGTTAGAATTCTCTAACATAATCAGCAACTGTGAAAGGGTATGCACACACACACACACACACAAGAAATCCATGCAACATTGCTTCTAATAGCCTGAGGAAGGAGAAGCACCCTAAGGCACTTAGCAATGGAGGAATAGTTAAAGCAGCTAATCCTGCCATAGGGGAGAATACTCTAACAGATCTGCATGGCAGAGCTTCATGCTCAGAAGTACAAGAACTCATAAGACTAAGTCAAAAGAGCATGTCCACTTTTATATAATGCAAGTATAACAGTGGCCAGGAAGGCCTGAAGGGACATGGCACAGCTGACCACCTTGTAAGTGATGGGTTGATTGTAGAATGGAAGGTGGAACAGAGGAAAATGATTTTTATGAGCTTGTGTGGTGATTAAATGATTTAAAATAAAGCATTGTTACATATTATATATTTAAAGAGGCAATGAAAAATGGTCATCGAGTTCTTCATAAAAACAAAGGAGAATTGAATCAGAGGAAAACCAACTTAGTTTCTTTAAAAATATACATTTATTAAAACTTTGAAGTTACTTAAAATTTTGTTCAAGTCAGAGAAAAAAACCAATATTAGCTCTATAAACCTAGATGTCCCAGGAAGTAGATATCAAAGGATTTAGGTTTCAAAGAATTCCTTATAAAAGGATTAATATCACATTCCTTGTTGCATGGGACTTAGATTTCTCTGAGGATCATTTTGCCCTGGAACCACAGCCAAGGTGAGTTAGCAGCAGAAATGGTGGATGGACAGGAGAGGTTTCTATTCATTCATCCTAATGCAGCCAAGAGCACATTTCTCAGTTAATGGAATGCAGTTTCTTCTGCAGTTCTTTGGAGCAAAGAGCCTTTAGACTCCCTACTTCCCCCACTCAGAAAAGAGCCTCTGTGGCTTAGTCCTCACACCTAAGTATATGCTGAAACATTGGCTGAACATGAGCGGAAACATTGGCTGAACCGCAGGACTCCCTGTAGCATGGGGGTAAAAATGTCTCTGGGAGGAAGTTTTCCTGAGTTCTTGTCTTCTTATCTGAAATTGTCACTTAGCTGGTCATGGTTAACAGATAAAAATGGGTTAAAAATGTTAGGAAGTACGATAAAATCGATAAAATCGTGTGCAGAAATAGATGAAGATAGTTGCTAAAAGGCACGACATAAAAATCTGGACCAGAAGATTTCTCCAAAACGTTAGTGGCAAGGGTGTCCTAAAGAAGTCACAAAAGCCATCCTACAAGGGACAGAGAGAAGAGAAGAATTAGGTTTCACGATGCTCAAAACCTGAGCTCAAATACACAGGAGAGGCTGAGGGTGCAGCCCAGTAGTAAAGTGCAAGCATGGCAATGCACAGGCCCTGGGTTCAATCCCTAGCATAAAACCAAAACCAAGCAAACAGAAATATTAAAAAAAAACAATATGCAGGAGGTTCCAGATTAAACAGTAAAATAACTCTTTTATTTAAAAAGAAAGGGGATTCTGACAATAGGCAACTTGTAGCTAGGAACCCTTCAGAATTTGTAAGAAGTCCAACATAGTACACAGAAGCAACCATTTAACTTTGTCACCTAGAGCAGGAACACTCTAAATGGAAGCAGGGAGACTGCCATGAGTAATCACGCTCTTTTCTGAACAAAAAAACCTATGCCATTAGGGGAACTGCTAAATCACTAGATTAAAAAACTATCACCTGAGATAATAAGGCAAGAGGCTCCATTTAGGAAGGGAATTAAACTCCAGGTTGTGGCATTTTACTTCTAGCCAGAAAATAAGGGGATTTTAAATCCTGTTTACCCAGTAGGATAATTTCTCACTTATTTATGTTAAGAGATTATTCCTTAGTCACTGTTGATTAGCAAAAACAAAACAAAACAAAAAAACCCCAGAAAAAACAAAAAACACAACACCCTCCTAATTTCCTCTTTAGGTGCAGAGAGCCTCAGGTACCCCATCTGTTACCAGAGAAAGGCTACATGGAAATTGACAGACTAAAGTTTTTTTAAATTACCAGTTTCTACAGTTTAGCTGTATTTATCCTGTAATATGGGTCACTCCAGTCCTGATTCAAGACTGGTGAGGAGGGGATGAAAGAAATAAGGGGTCTAGCTCAGAATCCAAGAGTCATACTGTGGGCTTAAGTGGTCAGCTTTCCTTGGGTCCAGGAGCTGAAAATTAAGAATCTCCAATGTAGTGGCACACGCCTGTAATCCCAGCAGCTCGGGAGGCTGAGGCAGGAGGATCTCAAATTCAAATCTAGTCTCAGAAATTTAGTTAGTGTCTCATTGAATTGCTTGGGGCCTATCTCTAAATAAAATATAAAAAAGGGCTGGGGATGTGGCTCCGTGGTTAAATACCCCTGGGTTCAGTCCCCAGTACCAAAAATCATCATCATCATCATCATCTCCAACCAAAAGTCGGGGGCCTGGAAGGTCCCATCAGCAGGGTTCAGGGGATTAGAAATGAAGGACACCGTGTTGGGGTCCCCACTGGTGACCACACACTCTGCCGGATCTTTCTCCAAAAGTCATTTAACAAGCAACCAGAGGGGAAAACCCGCCTGGCCTGGGCTGCATTATTGTTGACTTTACTAGTTGGGAATCCCTACATGAGTGAACCCTGCAGACCTAACAGAGTTTCCTAAAAGCTAGTTAAGGGGGCAAGGTCAAAGCTTGCAGACCCAAGTCATGCTCAATTAATTGGAGCCCTCCAGCAAGCTCAATTTCTGCCAATCTGACTGCCAAGAGAAGAAACCCCGGACATTCACCAGCCTTTCCCCGTGCTGCTGAACCCAGACTTTTCACTTTCAGGAGAACCCCCGCCCCCCGGGGGCTGATGGGTCGGGGTCCCCCTCAGTGCTAGCAGACCTGTGCTGCGTGGTGCTCACCCAGCCGCCTTGAGCCTCCAGCCAGGCGCGGTGCTGCCCCACGAGCTGAGCACAGAGCAAGTCCACGAGACGCTGACTGTCCAGGGCAGCTTGGTCCCACGTGTGCAGCTCGTGGGTGTCCTGCGGCTTTCTCTCCAGCAACGTCCCTGCGAAGGTCACAAGCATCATCACACGACCCCAGTTGAGGGCCTGGTTGTCGGAAAGAACAGCCTCTGCCATCTGTGCCACCAGCTCGACGCGGTTACCAGGATACCCGCGGTAAAGGGAGAAGAAGGGCTCGTATTGCTGTTGTAACCGGGCCGCCGCGGAGCGCAGCACAGCGGCCTCGGGAGTGGACGGCGGCGGCTCGGGGGTGCCCGGCTCCCGGGCACAGTACTCCAGGTAGTCGGTCAGCAGCTGGGCGGTGCGCTCCTGCAGCAGGTCTGCCATCCTCTGGCCTCCGCATGGGGCCTCGACCTCCGCCTTCTCTCTAGAGCCCACCGCATATGCCCCAGCTGGCGCCAGGTTCCTGTTTTTTTCTAAGGTCGGGAGAGAAGCCTTTGATGGGAATCCCACTTTCACCTGTGACATTCCACAAGCGAGTCCCAGGGGTTTGCGGGAGTTCGCGTGTGTCTGTAGAAATCAGGAGCAGTGCGAGACTGGGATTATTACTTAGTTCTGGGCTCCAGGATTAAGAACCAGAGCTGACAGTCCAGAAAGCTGGGCATGGCTCTTGCCTTTCCTTTAAGGCCACACACAGCCCGCACTGACTGCTCTCCAGCAGCCATTAACCAGCTTCTCTAAATTGGAAGAATGCATTCAGGTGTGTGTTGATTTCTTTGGTTGGGTGTGGCAAAAGGGGCAGGAAACAGGGCTAATTCTCTTGGAGGCTGCTACAGTGCTGTATTCATTTGCAGATGTTAAGAGCCTGTGGGGTGCTAGGCCTTTCCCCCTTAGCACTGGAGATGTGATGAAGAACAAGACATATGGTTCCTGACCTCAAGGACCTTAACTTCTAGAAATGGGTGGACACAAAGGAATGGACCATTTCTTTAATTATAATTATCACTATAATAGGAGAAGTTGAAGTATTCAGTTATTAGGAGGCAGCTGCTCCTTGCACCACCATTCCTATATTGCTTAGAGTTCTCATTTCTTTTACTGACCAATTCCTCATTATTCTAATCTCCTGATACAGTAAAAAATCTTCTATTAAACTTTTTCAGTTCATATTACTCTATGGTTTCTTTCTCCTGATTGGACACAGACCGATATAGAATTGGTACTAGCAGTGACATTTCTGAGGTTCAGTGGTCTGGAACATGTTTTAATATCCCTTCCAGAGTGAAAGACAAATTGCTACATCTGCATCACCTACAAGAAAAAATAAAGAGGGGTTGAGGTTGTGGCTCAGCGGTAAAGTGCTTGCCTAGCATGGGCAAGGCCCTAGTTTCAATCCTTAGCACCACATAGAAATAAATAAGTAAAATAAAGGTATTGTGTACAACTACAACTAAAAAATAAGAAAAAAATAGTGAAAGAAAGAAAGAAAAAAGAGACAAAGCACTTAGTAGTTATCTTAGTCCATTCAAGTAACTATAACTGAATACCATAGACTAGATGTTGTATGAAGAAGGGAAATTTGTTACTTACAATTCTTTTTTTTTATATATTTATTTTTTAGTTTTCGGCGGACACAACATCTTTGTCTGTATGTGGTACTGAGGATCAAACCCGGGCCGCACGCATGCCAGGCGAGCGTGCTACCACTTGAGCCACATCCCCAGCCCTGTTACTTACAGTTCTATTAGCTGAAAAGTCCAATGTCAAGATGCTGACAGATTCTGTGTCTGACAAGAGTTCACTTTCCTGGATCATGGCAGTTTTCTTACTGTGCCCTTACATTGCAAAAAGGGTAAATGAGCTCTCTGGGGCTTCTTTTATAGGGGTAGTAGTCCTATTTATAAGGGTTCCATCCCTTGATCTAATCATTTTCTAAAGTCCCCCATCTCCTAATACCATCATGTTGGGGTTTAGAACTTCAGCATGAATTTTGGAGGGATACAAGCATTCTGTCTGTAGCAGTAGGCCATTTAGGTTTCACAGGCAACATATACCACATTTGAGTGTTCTACTTCAACCCAGTCTACAGGCTGGTGAATTGGGGACCGCAGTAAAAGAAAGCTGTGCAGAACATGCAGGCTGCCATGAGGCTACTCCACCTCTTGGGTCTTATGATCCAGCAGATCTAATGGTACTTGCTGTGTCAAAATATGTTGTATGCAACCTCTGGCAAGCACTAGTAGGCGATGGTTGGAGACCACTAGAATTTTCCCAAATTCTATTACTTCTTCTGAAGATGACTTTTCTCCTTTTGTGAAGTAGGCTGTGACTTTCTACTGAGCCTTGGTAAAGGCTATAGGCCTAACCATAAAGAGACTACACAGCTTGAGTCCCATCTGAACTCAATGTTGTCTAGACTACTGAGTCATAAAGCTGGATGTATAGAGCAGCAATCTGTCATCAAATGAGAATGGCATATGAGAGACTGAACTCAGGCAGGTTGAGAAGGAACAAGTATATAAGCAGGTTGCCCAGACTCCTTCAACCCCAAAGTGCTTTGCCTTCCCCCTCTTTCCATGTGTATGATCTCTTGGGGTGTTGTTTAGGCCAGTTGATCAAGGAAAACTCAAGCCTGGATTATAGATGGTTCCGTATGATAAGCTATTTCCATATGAAAATGCATAGTGCCAGGCATGGTGGCACAGACCTGTAATCCCAGAGACTTGGGGGGCTGAGACTGGGGGGCTGTGAGTTCAAGGATAGCCTCAGCAAATTAGCAAGGCCCTAGGCAACTTAGTGAGACCCTGTCTCAAAATAAAAAAAAAAAATAAAAAGAGCTGGGGACTTAGCTCAGTGGTAAAGCACTCCTGGGTTCAATCCTCAGTACAATTAAAAAAAAAAAGTGAATAGCTATGGCATTCACTCACACTTAGGGGTGACTGTGAAGGACACTGGCAAAGGAAAATTTACTCAGTGGGCAAAAATAAGAGTAGTGTGTTTGTTGTCTACTTTACCTGGGGTGAGAGATGCTTAGAGTACAGATCTACACTGATTCATAGGCATTCCTGATGGTTTTCCTAGATTGTCAGAGCCTTTAAAAAAAAAAAACAGAGGATTGAAAGACCGATGATAAGGAAACACTGGGAAGATGATTATGGCCGGAGGCCTCTGAATGGGCATAGACTGTGAAGGTATTTGTGTGCTGTGTGAATGCCTGCCAAAGGGCATTCACTGCAGAGACTCAATCAGGTGGACAAAATTAAGCACTCTGTGAAATGTCAGTCAGTCTCTCTACCTAGCTGTTTGCTCAGTGAGCAGGAAGGTCATGGCAGCAGGGACAGAGGGTATGTACAGATTCAAAAACATGGAATTTCCACTATAGAACTTGAGCTGGCTAATGCTACTGTTAAGTGCCTAATCTACCAATGGGAAAGATTTCCATCAGAGTGAGCCAAATGAGATATGTTGTAAGAGAATATAAATCTATACACATCAAATTCTTATCTGAACTGGTTAAGTTTCATATATGCAAGAGAGTCATGATTCTACTATTCTGAACAATATATTTTAACAATAAGCACAACTTTTCTTAGATTTAGAGAAGCTTGAGAGTGAGTGGGAAATATCTGGTCCTGCCATTGGTAACTCTTTTATCAATAGAACTAAACAATAAATAAATAAATTATCCCCCACACAGAATTTCTTATTCACACATAGTGCCAAGAGGCAGTTTGTAGTCAGACATGATTAAATCCTGGCTCTGCAGCTTTGAAGCTGTGCAATCATGGGCAAGCTATTCAGCACTCCTGACCTTGATTTCCCATCTCAAAAATGAAGATAAGTAAACGTCTGCATCCCAGGACTGTGGCCAGGAGTACATTAGTTGGTGTATGCAGAGTGCTTAGCACAGTGCCTGGCATGCTGTAAAAGCTTGCTTTTGCAGAGAAGTTTTTGATATTCATACGAATTAACCAGGGCTCCAACCCAGGCTCATTTGTTTTACTCAAACATACAACTGTCTTATCTATGTGATTTCTGTTTTTTTTTTTTTTGAAATTTTGCAAACAGCTTGTAGTTGTCTTTTATTTTTCTGCATTTTTACATAACATCTTTACTGAGATATAATTTATATACCATAAGACTCACACCTTTAAAGTATATAACTCAGTGATTTTAGTGTATTTAGAGTTGTGCAATCTCACCTCCATCTAATTTCAATACTCCAAAAGAAATCCATTCAGCAGTCAAACTCCACCTCCAGCCCTAAGTGACCACAAATCTACTTTCGGTCTCTGTGGATTTGCTTATTTGGACATTTCGTATAAATGGAATCATATAATCTGTGACTCTTTGTGTCTTTCTTTCACTTGGCACAAAGTGTTCAGGGTTCGTCCATGAGGTAGCATGAGTCAGCACTTCATTCCTTTTTATTGCTGAATAATAGTTCATTCATCCATTCAGCTGTTGTTCAGCATTTGGGCTATTTCCACTTTTGGCTATTATAATTCTGCTATGAACATATGTGTTTGGGTTTTGTGAGGACAAACTTTTCATTTCTTTTTTATTTTATTTATTTTTTTAGTTACAGATGGATGCAATACCTTTATTTATTTATTTCTATGTGGCGCTGAGGATCGAACCCAGTGCCTCACACATGCTAGGCAAGTGCTCTACCAATGAGCCACAACCCCAGCCCTAAAAACTTTTCATTTCTTATGAGAAGAGACCTAAGGGCAGGAGGCTGCCTGTTACTGTGGAAAACACATAGGCTGGAAACAGTGACCTCAACTTCATGGTTTCTTGTTTATGACAAAGTCAGGCATTCACAGTGGTGTGTTGGTTAGCTAACCTCAGGTTCCGAGACAAGCACTTCCTGTTGTCAGTTTTCACGTAAGTGAGATACCATTCTTACATTCAGTTATTGGTATTTATTTATGTGGGTTAGATTAACCATAGCACCATTTCTGATCCTGTCTCCTCACTGGAGGCTCTGCATCCTTTTTGTAATACAAAATATAAAATAACTTCGTATCTTTCACCAGAATCAGCCTGAGTTAGCCCACGGGGGGCCATAGTCCCTGTGGCTGTTAGCAGTTCTGAAAGCTGGCCTGGCTCCAGACAAGTCCTGTCTAGAAATGAGAAGTCCGGGGTCTGCCCTGAAGAGTGACCCAATTCTCACTCACAGACAGGACCTGGAGACAAGAAGATCCCCCAGGGGGCTTCCTCATCATAATCCTGGCCCCTTTGTGCCTACCCAGTGCAGCCCGAGGAGCCATGTTTCACCCTGCTGTTGACTGGGAAGGTTCTCAGCAGGCAAGTTTGGGAAATGAAGATCTACAGTAAATCCCTGTTCTCCAGGCCTGGGAGAAACAACATGGCCTCAACCCCTGCCTCTGTTAATCTTCCAACCTATCATTGCTCTTACCCGGGATTCTAGAGGTCCTCCTTAGAAAAGGTTTTAAGCAGGTCACAGGCTCCAGTTTCTCTTGGGCCCTTCTGACTGCCTCTCTGGGACCCTCTGTGACTTCCCATGCTGCCCAGGGTTGCCCCAAGCCTCCTCTGAGGGCCTTTCCTAGAGGCCAGCTCTCCTTATTTATCCTGGTTTCTTCTTTTCTAAGCTCTTCTAAGGCCTTAATGGCCCCCAGGGAGTTCTCACTCAGAGGTGCCTGAAAAGGGCCCACTAGCTTCTTCTTCTTCTTTTTTTAATATTTATTTTTTTTAGTTGTAGTTGGACATAATACTTTGATTTTATTTATTTATTTATTTTTAAAAAATTATCTTTAGTAACTGGGGATTGAACCCAGGGGCACTTGACCACTGAGCTACATTACCAGTCTTTTTTATTTTTTAAAGAGAGAGTGAGAAAGAATTTTTTAATATTTATTTTTTAGTTTTCGGCGGACAACATCTTTGTTTTTATATGTGGTGCTGAGGATCAAACCCGGGACCATGCCTGTGCTAGGCAATCACTCTACCACTGAGCCACAACCCCAGCCCTTAGCTTCTTAAAAGTATGAACCAGAGCCCCTGAAGGGGTGAGAGGGAGGAAACCAGGAAGGGGATGAAGAAAGGAGAGAAAAGATGGTGAGGGGAAGAGAGGAGGAAGAGAAATGAGGTAGGGATAAGGATAAGAAGGAAGGAGAAAGAGGGAGAATGAGTAAGAGGAGTGAGAAGGGAGAGGGAAGAAATAGGAAGGGAACTGGGAAACGACAGAGAGGGGGCCAAAGTTTTGAGTAGGCATTTCACCTACTTTACTACTGTCCCATTTCATAGATGAGGAAACTGAGGTTGAAAGATATTTAGAATTATGTATCCTGCATAAGTGGTAGAGCTGGGAACCCAAGGTCCTCACTCTTTGTCACCATACCGCCCCTCCTAACTTATGGAGGAGCCGAGTGTCAGTGGGGCCAACTTCTAGCTAGTTGGAATTACATGAGCCCAGACACACAGGCCTTTTCAAGGCCTAGAACCTTTTTTTTTTTTTTTTAAATATTTTTATTTTTTAGTTCTCGGCAGACACAACATCTTTGTTGGTATGTGGTGCTGAGGATCGAACCCGGGCCACACGCATGCCAGGCGAGCGTGCTACCGCTTGAGCCACAATCCCAGCCCAAGGCCTAGAACCTTGTGCTACCTTTAAACCACCAATCACCGAGAGGAGGGTGTGGAAAAGGTTGGAGGGGAGAAGAGAAGTGGATACGGAGTGTCTGCTTCTGGCTCACCCCAGAACAGGGAAGGTCACTGGGACCCCAGGTTCTCATAGGCTGACTGCCTACTCTCTAAAGCAGCTGATATGATTTTGTTCCACAAATATGTCCCACAAACACTGTTGACTCTACACATCCTTTCTGCCTAAAGTTTCTCTCTGGCTGGGGAGGAGGTTCCCTGAGGCTCCTCTCTTGCCTGGGACACATCCTTTGGGCCCCTTCACCACAATTGGTTCAGCAGGTTGTCCCCAGGTCTGCTACAAAAAAAAAAGAAAAATTGATTCAAAAACTACACTCAGTATTATTTTCAATATGCAAAATACAATTTATTACATGGAGTTTACCCTTGAGTCTCCACATGGCATAGTATATTCCAAATAAAGAATTTCACCAATAAATACTAAACAGCACCCACTGTGAGAACATGGACTTTGGGGAGACGTGGCTTCCTGCCCAAGGCATTCTGTGGAATACTTTCATCTGGCCTTGAAGTTGCTCTCTTGGTTGGAAAATCTTGGGCTACTTTGCAGGTGGACTGATGATGCTTCCACCCCCAAACATGGACACTTGAACTTGCTTCCCTGAGTATAGTGGGCTTTCCTTTGTCCTGTGTTTCTTCACTTCTGGAAGCTAGCAGGTCCAGGTCAGAGTAGAGAGACAAAGAGGTGTGTGGAGAGGGAAGGGGTGACAGCTCGAGGTCAGTGAGTCCCAGGCAAATTCTGGGATGTTCAGGAGCTGAGCTCATCCCTTAGGGTTGACCCTGTCAGCCGTTGGATGATTCTAAAACATGACTCTTCTGAACCATGCTCCCTCTAACCCTGAGCTCTCAGGAGGCAGGAAAGAGGCCATTAATCTTTTCCTCTCTACCCTGGCCCTGATGTCTTATAAAAACCCGTGGTAAATATTTGCTCTGCAAATGATTAAATACAAGTATTGTGTTTATTTAAAGTGAATTTATAGAACAGCTGGTCTGCTTGATTTTGACTGGTGGGCCCATCACAATGCTTGAATAGTTTTGAGGGTGGGCTTGGCACTCCCACCTCCCCAGTGCTTACGGGAGTCCAGGCCTTTCCCATGTCTGTTCCAGCTCCAGCTGTGCAAGGGCCTCTTGGAGAAGCAGGCCCTGGGGCTGGGCCGACAAAGCCAAAACTACCACTAGGAAAAGGGCTGGGCAGAGCAGAGAGGGGACTGGACAACCCAGGGGATGTACACAAATAGCCTCAGCACAGCAAGCACCTGGCCGGTCAGACCCCAGGTCACCCACAGGGCAAGCCTCGCCTAGGAAGGATTTGGGTCTCTGAGGTGACCTTTCAGTCCCCTAAGTAATGTATCTTTTTGTATCCACCCCTCCCCCCTTTTTTGACAGGGGTCTGGCTATCTGGCCCAGGCTGATCTTGAGCTCTTGGACTCAAGCGATCTTCCTACCTCGGTTCCTGAGCAGCTGAGACCATGGATGTGTGCCACCGTGCCTGGGCACATGTGAACTTTTTGAATGAGCAGCTCACTAAAACAAAGAATAGATCTCTACAACTTAAAATTAAAACAAAGAAAGGGAAAGAAAGAATAAAAGGAATCTCATAACAAAAAGTACTTGGCATCTTCTAGAAGGAACTGCTGAATTTCAAATAAAGACAAAACGTTCTTTTGATATTTTTCTCTAAATATATGATGAATAAATACATTATTATTCAAGATCTGTCCATCAATCTGTGTATGCAATTACAATTGCAGTGCAATATATATGAATATAATTTATATGGATAAGATCCACTTTGATCCAAGTGTTTCCACTAATGCTACTAATAGGTTTTTAAATAAGTTTACTGTCCTATGTTCCCACACAGGAAGGTTTTGCTTGCTCTCAGAAGCATTGTGTTACAGACAGCATTCAGCTCTTCCCTCAAATGAGGAAAAATGCCCTAATACATTTATGTAGGCATATACAACATCAGCAATGTAATTCATGAATCAAACATCCTGTCTGTTTTATGCATATTCCTGCTTCATTTATAACAGTGTACACAGACAAAAATGTTTTATCTCAAAAAAGATGACAGGAGACTGAAAAAAGATAATTTTATAATAAAAACACATTTTTTAAAAGTGGTTTTGTCCAATAACATTTGGAATTGGAATTTTGTTCTGTCACAGGCCAATTAACACATTCCTCCTTAGACAGTCCATAAAACCAGCACTTCTAGAGCAAGGTTCCAAAAGTCACAGTGTACGCTAAGAAAAAGCAGATTTTAAAGTGTTCTGAAAATGAATTTGATTCAAGGAAGTAGTATGAAATATTCAATTGCTGAATTCTATGGGCAACAGAATGAGTTGAGTTATTCAGAATAAACTTAAAGTTATTTAGAATAACCTTAAAAATGGATAAACTTTATAAATAGGTCAAAATGAAAAATACTGTTCTTCAAAGTATTCTTGTAGTGCTGAAGGCTCATGAGAATGTATTTCCAGGGGCGGTGGTTTTAGCAGTGATGCTGAAGATGCTTAGTGAGCTTTGAGCTATGCAGCTGATCCCTTAAGCTAAACTGCAAGAAACCCTAAGCTCTTCTAGAAGGTCTATCTATTTACAGGTGAAGATTTCACATTCCATCCTCAGGTACGTATGTGTGAACTGTGAGATGACGATTATGCCCAGACCTGTGAAGACAGATAATTTTTAATTCCTTAGTAGTTAACAACTTGTCTGACTTGAACTTAAGGAGATAAAATCAGTCTATCCACTTGTATGCACACGGCACACACATGAACTCACTCCATCAAACTAGGGTACTCACGTGCCTTAGGAGGAAAACATTTCATTCCCAGCCACCTGAAGGTGCTTCTGGGGATCTGACTCCCCTCTCCCTTAGTTAATCATCCATAGGCATCTGTAGCCTCTTTACTAGAGACTGGTAGCTCTTTCAGATTGAGAACTGAACCATCTGTACCCCAACAGTTCACTCAATAAGACACTTAGATGAACTCACAGAAAACTTTTTGTTTCAGGAATTTTGTAAAAATTCTTTATGTCTATTTATCCTAAAACTAGACATTCCATTTGCCCACTTTAGAAATAATGTCCAAGTCTCAGGACAACTCAGAGCATCAAATGACTGTTTACTCTACCAGTCTTTGAAATCCTTCCCTCACCCAGGTTCCAGCAATCTTAAAACTATCATGCCACAGACATGCCCAATCCTAACCAACTGCCTCTGTCCTAAGACCAGACCTTAAGCCAGACCCTCACATGTGCCTCTGCCCTCCCCTTCTGAGATGCTACTAAGTCTCTGTCAAGTTTGTGATCCTTCATATTGACGTGTGGAATAAACTTGCTTTGCTTAATGAATAGGCTATTTTGATGATACTTTGAGGGAGCCAATGATGGACAAGGTCATGGAGCTTGAGAATCTGAAGAAAGCCAAGAGGGCTTGTTTCACACACACAATTTGTAAGACCATTTTAGGAGCTTCACAGGCTTCCTAAAGTGTCTGTGGCCTGTGTCCCTTGTCATAACAAGGTCATCAGTAAGAAGAACACAGCAAAACTGGGAGGAGAGGCTAGAAATCTGGTGTGCCAAAGGTTAGGATCACAAGAATTGTCCCTCAGGGTCAAAAGCAGCATTGTGGATTACTGAGCCCAGCTATCCCTCAACTTGACGCCGACAAATGGTTGTCCAATCTGTGCTTGAACACCTACCTACCTGTGCGGATGGGGCCCTCTGCACCTCTCCAGGAAACTCCTTGCCTCTATGGCTGCCCACAGAGCTGAAGTGATTGCTGCCTAGCTGACCAGCCCACCTCAGCCTGCTCTACCCTCTCTGCTTTAAGGAAGTCTGGTCACTTCTCCCTCCTGTCACACACAGAACAGTAGAAACACATTTCACTTACTCTCAGGGTATGATCCCACGATCCTGAGCAGAAAGCAGTCCCGTCAGGAGAAACTCGGAGAGTACTGACGCGGTTTTCGTGCCCAAACAGGATGGAGACTCGGGTGCCTTTGAGAACATCCCAGACGTTGATGGTATAATCATTGTATCCAGCAAAGAGCAGGCGACCTTCAAGTGGGTGATGTGATGGTTATTAAACCAGTTTCCTCCCTCCTGCTTTTCTTCCGTCACTCACTCGCACATTCATTCACTTATTCATTCAATCAGTAAATAGTGTCTTAGGCCACAATGTGCCAGGCCCTGCACTTTGCCTTTGGGATTCAAAGAGGAAAAAGCACAGTTGCTGGCCTCATGCTGGATGTGTGGCAGAGAGAAATAAATCACTGTAATATCATGTGACCATTCTGTAAGGACTTACGTGTAGTACAGGATATGGGACCCCAGAGGAAGGGGGACCAAGGGGCAAGGCGGACAAAAACAGATCATTTTGCCAGGTGTGGTAGCGTACCCCTGTAATCCCAGCTACTTGGGAGGCCGAGGCAGGGAAATTGCAAGTTCAAAGATGGTATAGACAATTTAGCAAACCCTGTCTCAAAATTAAAAATAAATAAATAAATAAAAAGGGCTGGGGATGTAGTTCCATGGTAAAGTGCCCCGGGTTCTATCACCCAGCATCACACAGACACAGAGACACACACACGCACACACACCCCACATACACACAAAGGGCAGTTGAGGAAAATGGCACAAATGTGAGTTTAGCATATTGGTTCACAGAAAGTTTAGTTAGTGGAAAGCTTGACAGAGAGCTGGTCGCATTCAGGTCCTATCTTACAATCCTGAGGAATGTTCTGAAATACAATCTTACCACTGAGGGAGAAGTCCACGCTGGATGCTCCGAATATGATACTCTCTTTGGAATAGATGGCAACCTCCCTGTCTGCTCGGAGGTCATAGAGGCGACACTGAGGTACAAAGAAACAGACAAAAAAGCACTTACTTTTGGCTCCACTTTGGTAACATGGTGACCCCAGAGCTACTGGTGGGTGCTAGTGGCTTGTATGGTTTGACAGATGAGGTAAAAATATCTCTTTAGCTTTTTCTTCTACTATTTCATCCCTCAATTTTGACTTCTATTAATCTCCATGGATCATTGGAAACCCAAACAAACAGTACATGCAGAAAATTTCTTCAGGTACAAAAACAAAAATGAAATATCTTTTCCTGATAAAGGAAATATGGTTATTGTAGAAAATTCAGAAATATTTAGAAGTGCATAAAAAAAGGAAATAAAAGTCACCCCAAGTCCTGGACATATGCTAATGTCTAGATTGTTTCCTTCAGTCTATTTCTATTTTATGTGTGTGTATATAAATGGGGTAGATTTTTAAAATTTTTATTAGTTATTGGTGGACCTTTATTCATTTATTTGTTTACAGGTGGTGCTGAGAATCAAACCCAGTGCCTCACACATGCTAGGTAAGCACTCTACCACTGAGCCACAACCCCAGCCCAGGGTAGATGTTTTATTATTGTTTATAGTAACATTATAAGCATTATTTAATTATCACTAGATAACCTTCAAAAAAATTTATATGGTTGTCAAACATCCCTCATGTTGATATGTTAGAAACTTTTTGGTCACACCCTGTTAAGTGCTTGCTTGTGACTAATTTTTCTCTATAAATAATACTATCATGCTGCCTCATCTGGTGGTGTACACCTGTAATCTCAGCTACTTAGCAGGCTGAGGCAGGAGGACTACAAGTTCATGGACACCCTGAGCAACATGGTGAGATCCCGTCCCAAAATAAAAAAGGTGTGGGATATAGCTTAGTGACAGAGTGATTGCTTAGCATGTGAGAGACCCTGGGTTCAATTTCCAGTACTGAAAAAAAAAAAATCTATTGTGAGCATTCTTATGTAAAAATCTTAATACACCTCTGAAAATTTCCTTAGAATAGTCAAGAAGTAGAATTTCTAGAATAGAATTGTTCTCAAGAAATGGCATGCCAAGTCAAAACACAAGGATGTCTTAAAAGCTCATAATTTCTACTGAAAATCTTCCCTTCAGAAGGGTGGTATCTACAAGCCTCACTGGGGTTTCTCCAAAGATTCTCTGCCTCACCAGCTCCACCCCTGGGCAATGCTTGGCTGATCCAACAGGCAAAACAGGCATCTGAATACATTCAAGTTGCATTTCTTTGATTATAGATGAATTAAAAAAATGTTTTTAGGTATTTATTGGCCATTTTGGATTTTATTATTTTGTAAATGGTCTATAGTTATCCTATATAATAAATGAATAAAGGTCCATCAAATGTGGTATTCAGCTTATTGATTATATAACCTCTTCATATCTAAAGGATTTTTACTTGGTCTATCACATACATGGCAAGAATTTTTCCAAAATGTATGCCCTACCTTTTTTTCTTCTCGCACTGGGATTGAACTCAGGGGCACTCAACCACTGAGCCATATCCCCAGCCCTATTTTGTATTTTTATTTGGAGACAGACTCTCAGTGAATTATTTGGTGCTTTGCTTTTGCTGAAGCTGGCTTTGAACTCTTGATCCTCCTGTCTCAGCCTCCCAAGC